GCAGTTGTTCAGTGATCCTCTCTGTGTTTTTTGTTTTCTCCCCTGTTCTGGAACTCCGATCACTTGCAGATTTTTGCTTTTGATTGTATCCTACGTAATTCTCAGGGTTTCTTCATTCTTTGTTCTTTTTTCTGATTTTTTCTCAAACAGAGTTGTAGCCAAGTGTTTGTCTTCAATTTCACTGATCCTGTCTTCCATCGTTTCACACCTGGTCCTCATCCCTTCTATAACACTGTCCATTTCTGAAATCTTGTTGTTTATCTTTTGGATTTCTAATTGTTGTTTTTGTATGATTTTTAGTTGTGAATTTATTTTAGCATTTTGTTCCTGTATTATTTTCTTGAACTCTTCCATTTTTCTTGTCTGTATTTTCCATGATTTTCTCTTTTTTTCCTCATTTTTGTCTGCTTTTTGCTTCAACTCTTGGACAATTCTGAGTATTAGAGATTTGAATTCCCTCTCAGGTAGTTCTAGTGCCTTTTCTTCTACTGGAAAGTCATCTGGTGTTTTATTTTGGATGCCTCCTGGAACCATCCTGTCCTGTTTTTGTAAATGTTTTGATATTGTCTGCTGTCTTTGGGGCATTCAGTTGTTATTTTCCTCATTTTTTGATTATAGATTTGTTTGTTTCATCTTGCTTTTTTGTTTTATTTGGTTATGTTTTAGCAGGAGGGCTGTGTGTTCTTTGTTGTTTGCTCATCTGTGGGCACGATATTTTTCACCCCCTTCTCCAACGGGCAAGGTCACTCACTCAGGTATGGTACAGCAGGTCAAGTCCAGCTGAAGGGGAGTTGCTGGGACAGGTTGTTTGTGGCATGTACTAGGGTCAACAGGGTGGGCTGGGAATCAGTGCAGGGCAGCTTCTGGTAGGCCGTGCCTGTGCTGCTTGAGGTTGTGATGTTCAGCACACAGTGCAGATAGGCAGGAAGGAGGGAAGAGATTGTTATGTGTGGAGCTAAGATGGGTATGGGAAAGAGGAGAGAGAGGACAGAGGAAGGGGAGCCAAAAACATAACACTCAAACAAACAAAAAAGAGTGATAAGGAAGCTTGCTGTTGGAGTGGAAAGATGAGAGACTGAGAAATGGAGATAAAAAGGGAAAAAAAGAAAAAGGGTAAAAGGAAAAAATGAATAAATAAAAATTAGAGGAAAAAAGAAAAAAAAGCCCCCAGGGATCCCACCAGTGTGGCTGGTATGACTGGGGAAATTTCTCACCTGCCATGAAGTACTGCCTGCCTAGAAAGGGTAGAGATGTCACACTGTGCCAGACATTCAGGAGAGATGAGAAACTGAAAGTGAAGAAAGACAAAAAGAGAGAGAAGAAAACAAAACAAAGACAAAAACAAAAACAAGAAAGAAGAAATGCCCCCAGGGATGTCACTGTGCATCTGCGCAGAGTAAGAAAGTAGCTCCCAAGCCACAGAGTACTGCCCAAATAGAAGGGCTCCCAAGGTGAGAAAAGAAAAAAAAACAAACTAGCAAACAAATCAAAACAGAACAAATCAGAACAAACAATCAAAGAAAAAAAGCCCCAGGGGTCCCACCAGCGTGGCAGCACTGGCTGGGAAGCAGTTTCACAGTCAAACGGTGTTTCCCAGCCTTTCAGGAAGAAGCAGAGATGGCACACGGAGCCAGGTATTTGAGAGAAGGGGGGGTGGGAGTGGTGAAAAGTAAGGAAGAAATCTAAAGAAGCAGGAAAAAAGCAATACCAGCAGCCAACAAATGGCACTCAGGGAGCTGGCCAATGGGGGAGGGTGGAATCCAAGCAACCCCAGGGTGAAGCTGGTGCTTCCCAGCCAAGAGACTGTGGCCACAGGAAGCAGAGGAGGCCGAGTATGGGGTGAAAAATAGTGGGGGGGTGGGAAAGCATATATTGCTGGTTACCAGTTCCTGTGAAGCTGATTTTTCGTACCCTCTGTTCACTTATCTCCGATAGGAGTCCAACATGGTGGATCTGTGCTGCATTAGATGATAGGGGACCTCTGCATGTATCTTTCCTCGCTCTCTGTTCTTGGTCAGTTTCCTATTCCATTCAGTGCTTGGCTGAGTTCTTTATCTCTCCATTTCATGCATAGGGTTTCAGGACTGATGGGTGTCTTTGTTTGACTTAGTTTTTTGGGTTTTTGCTGTGGAGGGACAGTGTGGTGCTTCTGTCTATAGTGCCACGTTGCCCAGAAGTCTCCCTGGCTGTCACATTCTTATGCACAAGAGCTAGTACCAATTTCAGTTAGTGCCCTGCCAGTTCCCTTCTACTGTGGCGCTTGCTTTTCTTATGTCCTGTCTGCCTGGCATCTACAGGTCTTTGCTCTGGACAACTGGTGCCCCTGTTTTGTTGATGCCCTAAGCATGTGCTGACCTTGCTTATTCGGTAATCCATGCCTGCTTAGATGTAGAAAATGCCTTGATTCCAAGATATTCATTTGGGAGAAATGTTTTTAAAGGCAATAATCAAAATAAATGAAGGAATATATAGAGAAAAGAACAAAGGCCTTTGAACCTCTTCTTTTGGAAATGCCTATAGTTCTGAGGAAAGATGATTTACTAAAATACAGAATAAAAGCAGCACTGATTCTGGAATCAGATAGTTCTGGTTTTGAATCTTGGCTCATTCATTTATTAGCCATATAATGACTTTCTATGCCTTATTTTCCTCACCTGTAAAAGGGGGGTAATAATATTTTTCATAGGATTTTGTGAGGAAAAAAATGTCATAACCCATGTAAAGCAGTCAGCATTTTGCACGTTAACTAAGCACTAAATAAATGTTAGGGAGCTCTGGTTGCGCAATGGTTAAGAGTTCAGCTGCTAACCAAAAGATCAGCAGTTTGAATCTACCAGCCACTCCTTGGAAACCCTATGGGCCAGTTCTACTCTGTCTTACAGGGTTGCGATGAGTCGGAATCAACTTGATAGCAAGGGGTTTGGTATTGGGTATTTAAATAAATGTTATTATTTCTATAACTTAGAGAAAGAAATATTCCATATCAGACAATACATAAAAATGTATTTCAAAAAAAAATCCTTTTTTCCGTAATCCCAGCTTTGAATCTAATATTTACAGTTGCTCCCCTATAAGGCTGTAAGTGACTGTTTATGCTGCAATTGCTTGTGGTTTGGTTGAGGGGAAGTTGCACAGTGTGCCTTATTTATGCTGACAATTTAAGAAATTTCTCTGTTGTTACATTTCTGAATGACCTAAAGCACAGTTTAAAACTGTAATTTCTGGGTACTGAGAAAAGTTTGGTCCATATTTCTGAATTGTCATTCAGCTGTTTTTCCTGTTTAGAATAGAACAAGAAATGCCTTAATTGGCAGCCAGTTCTTCTAATTGCAGAAACTAGAATAGGCAGGGCTTCTTGCTACCTTTACTTTGCACTAAAGTGAGCCCAGTAACCCACCCAGTAACCCTTATACTTGATGTTCCTTTATTAAGAACTGGAGGATGGTTTTATTCTGTATTATTTGATTAAAAAGTGTTCCAAACTTATTGTCGTCAAGTCGATTCTGAGTCACAGCGACCCTATAGGACAGAGTAGAACTGCCCCATATGATTTCCAAGGAGCGGCTAGTGGATTCAAACTGCTGCCTTTTGATTAGCAGCCTATTTACGGAGAACTTTTTTTAAAATCAATCATAGTTATCGAGAAACAGGATATAAATACTCTTATTTAAATTCCCTCCCTTAACTCTGTTAAGGTACCTGGGTGGCACAAACAGTTTGCAACCCTAACCTAAAGGTTGGCGGTTTGAACCCACCCAGCGGCACCCCAGACGAAAGGCCTGGCAATCTGCTTCTGTAAAGATTACAGCCAAGAAAACCCTATGAAGCAGTTCTACTCTGTAACACATGGTATCACTAGGAGTTGGAATCAACTTTATGGCAACAAGTTGGGTTTTTAACTGTTAATTCCAGAAGATACGAAAGGTATCCCACGTAAGTATTCTGTCCGAACTTAGTAAGTCTCTGTTATAGACTCATTAGCTTTAGGACAAAGTTGTTTTTCTGCTCATGATTAAGAAAAAAAAAATTCACTAACCAGACATTTGTCTCAGGACCCCTTGTGATGACTAAGTGCCTGCTTGAAGTAATTGTTGATGTGGGACACAGACTAGCCACTGAACGTGAGGCTAACAGGCATCTTCAGCTGGAGATGACAGTGTGGGACTGTGTTTATTCCTACAGTGTCTAGTGTGCATTAAGTCAACTATTTGAGGGTACAAATCATAGAACTATGTTGGCTTCCTGGAAGTTCTTTTTCCTTGTGGATTGTCTTGATTGGCTGTGACAGTTGCTATCCCTGTGTGTTAGCACATAAGGCTGTTGTTTGAACAGAACAAGGGGATACTGTGTGGTTTAAAATCAGGAAAGATGTGCATCAGGGCTGTATCCTTTCATCATATGTATTTAATCCATATGCTGAGCAAACAATCTGAGAAGCTGGACTATATGAAGAAGAACACGACATCAGGAGTGGAGGAAGTTTCATCAGCAACATGAGATAAGCACATAACACAACCTTACTTGCTGAAAGTGACGAGGACTTGAAACACTTCCTGAAGAAGGTCAAAGACCACAGCCTTCAGTATGGATTACACCTCAACATAAAGAAAACCAAAATCCTCACAACTAGACCAGTAAGTAACATCATGATAAAGAGAAAAGACTGAAATTGTCAAAGATTTCACTTTACTTGGATCCGTGATCAATGCCCATGAAAGCAGCAGTCAAGAAATCAAAAGACGTATTGCATTGGCAAATCTGCTGTGAAAGACCTCTTTAAAATGTTAAAAAGCAAAGATGTCACTTTGAGGACTAACATGCACCTGACCCAAGCCATAGTATTTTCAGTCGCCTCATATGCATAGTGTTTTCAGTCGCCTCATATGCATGCAAAAGCTGGACAATGAATTAGGGAGATCGAAGAATTGATGCTTTTGAATTATGATGTTAGAGGAGAATATTGAATATACTGTGGATTGCCAGAAGAGCAAAACAAGTCTGCTTGGAAGAAGTACAGCCAGAATGCTCCTTAGACGTGAGTATGGCAAGACTTCGTCTCATGTACTTTGTACATGTTATCAGGAAGGACCAGTCCCTGGAGAAGGACATCATGCTTTGTAAAGCAGAGAGTCAGCAAAAAAGAGGAAGACCCTCAGGGAGATGGACTGACACAGTGGCTGCAACAATGGGCTCAAACATAGCAATGATTACGAGGATGGCGCAGGACCGGGCAATGTTTCATTCTGGTGTGCGTAGGATGGCTATGAGTTGGAACCGACTCAACAGCACCTAACAACAATGACTAATGATGTTAAGAATCTTTTCATGTGCAAATTGCCATTTGTATATCTTCTTTGGAGAAGTGTCTATTCAATTTCTTTGACTATTTTTAAATTGTGTTGTTGCTTTGTGTTGTTGGGTTGTAGATGTTCTTTATATATTCTGAGTATTAAACCCTTATCAGATATATGGTTCCCAAATATTTTCTCCCATTCTATATGTTGTCTTCCTTCCTCTCTCTCTCCCTGTATCCTTTACTCCCTCACTCTATTTTTCCCTCCCTCCCTTCCTCCTTCCTTCCTTCTTCCCTTCCTTCTTTTTGTTATTCCTCCACTCCTTTCTCCCCGCTTCCTTTCTGTTTCCTTCTGGCTCCACGTCTGTGATTGGCAAGTAGTTCCAGTGTCCACCTCTTCAGGATGGTGCTTTATTTCCCTGGTTGTCCTCCCTTTGTGCTTTATACATGGGGCTTCAATCTAACTGATGTGAACCCCAGACTATATGCTGTGGGCCATCAGGGTTAGAAAATACTCTTAGCAAAAAAAATCATCTTAACTCTTATTGTTTCTGGCCTCTAAGGACTTGCCTTACTTTTCTACAAGTTCAGCCATGCATTGTAAAAAAGTTGTTTTTTATATATCCTTACTGTAAGCCTTCTATACTGAGAGGTTTCCCCTACATAGGCAGTGTGCCACTTATCCAAAAATGGGAGTGGGATAAGTAATATGATGTTTTAAATACTTTAGTAAAGGCAGTGCAAATTTTTATTAAATTAAAAATTTGAAAACATCCTAACCCTTTTTTTTTGGTAATAGAAGAATGTGTCTTCAAAAATCTAAGTTTTTCTACCATAGTTAGGAGCACACAGCTCTGTTTATGTTACAGTTATCCAGAGAAGAAAGAAGGGTTTATGCATGATGGGATTTCTGGGCCAGGGCTATGTAAGCAAACATAGGGGAAAATTCTTTCTCTCATACAGTTTTCTAAAACGGCACCAAGTTAATAGCAAGCCTTTCTGGGGTGAGCATTCTCATATCCATTATGCTGGTGGGTTCACTTTCTACATTTTGTTCCTCAAATGTTAGAGGCAAAGCTTCCTATAATGGAAGCTGAAATAAACAAAAATTGTAAGATTGTACATGTTAATTTGCTATTGATTAGCAATCCTCCTCTCTTCTTTTACCCCTTAATGAGAAAAAGGCTTCCCAAGTTCTCAAGTTTGATGGTCTTTTCGGCAGAAGATTAATGCTCGGTAAATACAATTTTCTATCTAACTGTGTGCGTCCGAGTGAGTGACACTAACCAATAATAACATCCCATAACTGTAGAGGATAAATTACTACTCTTTTTGGAAAAACTGTGACAAAGACTAATTTTTTGAGCCTACTATGTATTGTTTTATGATTTTCTTTAAAAAAGAGCTCATAGAGCCATCAGGCTTTTAAAATAGTGTAGTTCAGTTATAGTAATAGCTGCTTCTCTTAGTCAGGTGATACTATATATATATGCATATACATATACATATAT